GAGTAATCTATCCTTGATCTTCCGACAGTATTGTCATTTCGATTCTCCTGCCTGATTAGCATCTTCATTGTATACGTTTGTATTAAATTTTTGACAAGTATAGAATTATAAATGTTGGTATCACCATACAATAATATATATATTTATACTGTCAATTCTGTTTATTCAGTTTAAACCCCAAACAAACCATTTTACTATTTTTCTTTTTCCTGGTGGTATTTCTCTTTTTTTAAGTTTATAACTTTGTTTTTTGTATAAATAATAATCTAATAAAAAAATTTGTAATCAACTGTCGGTTGCCTGACATATATATACATATACTATATACGCACGATAAAGCATCCATATATTCTCTCTCATAGTCGAAAATTATGATATGAAATTCAAATTTATCGAAGTTCTAACTCCCAGGAGAGTTAGTTTGCTTGTGTTTCTCTTCGTCGAGAAATTAGGCGATCACCGGCTGTCTCTTCGGATTGATAAACTACTATTCAGCTCTAAAAAAATTTAACAGTTTCAACATTAAACTTGATAAATTTTATGATTACTGGAAGTAATCGACGTACATTTTGATGTTGTATGGTATTGAAATATTTTGGCTGGTAGACTTGAAAGTCGATCGAATTCCGAATAGCTTGTCAGTAACACCTGTGTCGGTATCAGCAAATACCATGGGTTTAGAATTACTGATAAGACATATTTTCCTCTGACCTCACATGCCGTTTCAAATTTGAACGCTATATTTTATACATTATCATTGTCATTTTTGGTTGGTGGCAAGTATCAAGTATGGAATCAGGGATGCGCAACTCGTCCTATTTGGCGCTCTTCACTTAAAAATACTTGCATTCCTAGTGACTGATCATGTTTCCGATTCAACAAGTATTTGTTTTTATTTTTTTAGGTGAAATTTGTATTGCTTATTAATCCTTAGACATCGTCATTAGTAATACTAAAGCTTCATTTCAGACAATATGCGAAAATATGGTACAAAAATTTCTAGCGTATTCAGTTCCAAAATATTTTTTCTTCATACAGGACTTTCATGTAAAGTAATAATCTTCATTTCATTGAAGAATTGCACACCGTTTCCTTGGAAATGAGTTAAAACAGTGCGCCAGTTCATGTTTAGGTCATCTGATATAACTGGGCGATTAAAACAATGACAAATCCAGATGAAATTTATCATTTCGGTGGAAATCAGTTTCGGTAACCCAGTGATTCAAAAGTCCATACTAGGAAACAACATGTTAACAGAAACCGAGAATTTCGGTACAACGCGTAATTAATTAACAAGAAAAGCTAAATCGGCCTGAAAATAAATCATTTTCCTATGATTCCACAGGATTACATAAGATTTTAGATCAATAAATGGAAGCGACTCAGTCGTTATAATAGTCGAAATAGGTTTTATGTCATCAAGCACGGCATCCTATTGACATGGCTCATACTTCATTGTGTGTGTATGTGTGTCGTATAAATGATGGCATACTGGACATCTGAATTGGGAAAAACACAAAAAGCAGAAATATGCCAATAATAATCATTATGTAATATATTACATTTTACCGCATCGTACGTTTCTATTTGACATGAATTTAATAGGTCCACAGCATGCTTTAATTAATGCTACATCTCATGTCAAAATAACGAGATTTAGGACCGCTTTCTCGATATTCCCTACTAGTATTACAAGCTGAATAATGACAGTGCATATTACTATAGAAGTGTAATTTACAATAATAGAGTGAAATTACAGAGCTAAAGACCAGCAATCTCTAGCACTGTCAGCCAGGAAAAAATGAATTTAGGCGTCTGTTAAGCCTCGAACATACTTTGCTTGAATGTCAGTCCTTATTGCAGAGTAGTTTTTTATTTTTATTGTTCCCTTGGGTTCCGAGTGGAACATAGGGCCTCAACAACACATCTCCACTTTGTTCTACTTTCTGCCATCCTCTTCAGCTAGGTCCACGATTGCCCAAACTCTCTCATCTCTTCCCCACACTATCTCATCCATTTCACCCTAGGACGACACACTTGCCGCTTCCCATTTGGATTCCACTCGAGCGACGGCTTGCATTGCGCGCGATGTCATTCGACGGCCTCCCTTTTCAACGTATGCCAGATCCATCTTCATTTTCTCCTACATAATTGTTGAGCTATCAGCTCTTGGTTGGTTTGTTCTCACAGTTTCTTGTAACTAATTCTTTCTTGCCGGCCAGCCATTTGATCTTCAGTATGGAGCCAGTGAAGGCAGCTGTTGATAAACGTCTTCATCTGGCTGTTGGAAATGCTTTTTGAGACACTCTGGCCAAGTTTCTGACCCGTATAGAAGGACCAACTTCACATTGGTGTTGAAAACTCGAATCTTGTTCTGTATGGCAGCTGAGTGCAGCAGAAGATTTCCAAACTGGTTTCAGGTTGATGAAGGCGTATCTTGCCTTTCCGATTCTGGCTGGCTGGCTTTCACATCTTCATCCGTTCCAAATGCCTGTAGTTGAAACGATGCTGGCTGCCTAGATAAGTGGGGGAAGTACCTTGTTAAATCTCTCCCTTGATGGTGATTGGTGCTGGTTGTTGTTGTTGTTGCTGTTGATGCGGCTGTTCGTTGGTTATCTTTATCACTTTCATCTTTTCTATGTTCACGTGCAGTCCTGTCTCCACTGCCTGCTTCTTCAGTCAGTTTATTAGTTTTCGTCTTTAAGTCTTCGAGTTTATGTGACATTAGACATATATCTTCTGCGAAATTCAGAGCTTCTAGAGTTTTCTTATCGGTGATCCAGCGTATTCCTGTCTCCTCGCTCCCCATGGTCTGACACAGAATCCACTCACAAATTTTGCAGTGTACACTTTAGTACAGCATTTCATTTTCTAAGTTTTCTTGTGCATAAACTTATTTGCTTTCATGAATTAATTTATTAGAAGATATTCACTGATTAACAATAAATTCCAGTTAACAACGTGGCTCTTACTATTCAAAGATTGATTCATTTGAACCTTCATTGTGATGTGAACTTTTAGACTTCCCAGGTTATTTTTTTTCAGAGAGAAGAAACGAAACAGATCGACAACAAAAGATTAAACTGACCTTTACATTTTGTATAACATTTTACTATCCATAACTCTTCGATATCACTTTTTAAACAGCTTCTTTTTTGTTCCCATACTCATACAGACATCAGGTTTAATCATCATTGAATAGGACACAAAATTTAAGATAATCAATCATCCAGAGAAAGAAAAGATTTCTTGGCTAATTAAAGTAGAAAAACACAAAAAGTGATTCAAGTAATGCTTAAAGATCAGAAATAATTTCAGTCAAATAACTAACACTAATTGTATTAAACGAATGATAATAATTAAATTAAATCTTGGCAAGTTCATCATAGAAAGAAAGAAAGAAAAAAACCTAGTTTCACATTTATTTCTCTTATAATAAAGATATCAAGGCGATAAACAATAGTTGTTAGTATAATCTCTGTGTGTGTGAATATTTTTATACCTGCTCAGTTTCCAATGTCATTTATTAGAGGAAGGGAGGAGGGAGGGGCTGTTTCACCTGAATAATATTAAAAAAATAGTTTCTACATAAATTTGGGCAAGTACAAAAACTCAACCATACCCTACTTAGCTCGTGTTCTGTGCGATAAAGAAAGCATTAGGCTTGACACCTATAATTCATTAAATGGTCAATAGTACAACTGGACCTCGTCTTTCCAACTTATATCACTTATAGGTACAACATTTCCCTTCTTCTTTTCCTTTTCTCTCTCTCTTTTTCTTTTCTTTTTTCCTTTGTGTTTGCTTTGTTTCCTTCTTCCGCTTACGCCAGTAAATATGACAGCACCTACTTTTCAACACCTTCAAACACTGTTCAGCTTAACTTTTGCCAATATGTTGTTGTCATAATGAACTGTGATTTCCTCAATCTATGTAGAATTCTATTTATTGATAGTGTATAACTGGATGCAATACTGTAATAAAAATGCTGAGAATTCCATTCTGTATCACAAGTACTGTTTTGGAATAAAGCAAATTATTATTATTACGAAGGGATGGGCATGCAAAGAATATGCTATCTATTGTTTTTCTTATTTATTCGTTTTCTACATATTAATACTAGAATAAATGAAAAAGAATTTTTTTATTAATGTAGTACAGTGTGATAAATAGGATATGCATATATATATATATATATTTGAGAAGTTAATCTTTTATTGAACACCAGGTATTAAGTAACTAGTGTCATCTATCTAGTCCTTTGTTTCGTGAAGACTGAATTCTATCATTCAAGTCTACAATGTGGCCACCATGACAGGTGGCTCACCGTCACGGTGCACTCCAAAGTGTTGCCGTTAGTGGCGACATGGGTCTGAATCCCAAGGGGGACATGAGTTCCTTCATGGTTGCAGATACGCCATGCTGACAAGTGCTAACAGGCGTGAAAGCTAGGTCTATGGCTTCCTGCCAGTTGCCTCCAACTATCCAAATATAAGTTATTCCTCTTTGTTATAACTACTGAGGTTCAACTTTTATTAAAGCTTTATACTAACTCCGAATAATTTGCATGAACTTCACTTACAATTATCTGGGAAGGTATGTTAATCTTGGCACTTTATGGAACAATGAGGTTAATTATTTCATTAGTTAATTGGTTAGTTAGCTAGAACTTAGTTATCGATAGTAGATTTTTCATCTACCTGGCTAAGAGTCCAATTTACCGTCTGATGGCTGATGATAATATCCAGCTGCTTAGGCTGAAGTCGGTGTAGTGGTATTCGAACCGAGGGCTAGTTGACTGAAAGTTGAGTGTTCAGTCAAATAAACCTCATCTCCACTTCAAGGGATTAAGTTACTTATAATAATAATAATGAAATTCAGAGTTGTGGTGACTACTGATTGTTATAAGTGCTTTATTGGATTTCAGACAAAGCATTTATATAATACTTTTTTCACTTTCCAAATTAACTAACTGGCATCATTCATCGATTAAATTTTAGATGCTCCTGCTAATGTTTCAATTTCCGTTGACTCTGGAGGTCTTCATGAAGATGATTCCAGTGGACGTCAAGAAATGGTGGTATACGCACGTGCAGGTGAAACAAAAACGTTTACGTGTAAAACAGCTCCATATTATGGTCAGGCAACAATAAAATGGTTATTTCAAGCATCTGGTAATAGTATTACTACACCGCCTAAACAGATTATGGATAAAGCTGTTACATATAAAACACCAGATGGTGAAAGTACATATCAAGAATCACAAATTCAGATTAATGTTCGTGCAGAAGATGACAGAAGTTATATAGACTGTTTAGTATGGAGTGTTGGAGATGCACGTATTGATGCTAGAGTTCGTCTAGATATTATCTGTGAGTTGTTTTTGAAAAGAAAATATTTTTTCTCTCAATTAAAATTATATTAGACTGACTTTGAAAGACGAACAAATCATTAATTTATAATTTTCTAGGAGAGAATAGTATCATTTAGTTTTGCACTTACTGTCCAAGACGACATTAAGACAAATCACTTGTGAAGTCTTTTAATTTCTTGGATCATGAGACCAAGACGTCAGTTATGCTGGAAGAGATAGTTAAAAAGTATGTGCAACTGCCGAACACAAGATAGATTGCCGCAAAACATCCAAAACTTATCTAGTATGAGAAGAAGCAAATTTATGCGTTCATTTTTGTTAAATACTGGATGATCTTGAAAGACTGGATGAACAATTTCATAGTATTATAAGAGGCTAGTCAGTTATGATTCAAACTCAACTTTCCCTATTTGTCAACAATGAGATTTCATCTAAACTTTGATTGATACTCAAACACTCGTTTTATTTCATTCTAGTATCATTTTAACTAATCCCTGAGGTCAATTTTATTCTAGTTAGAAATACTTACTTCCTGTAAAAGGTATCAGTGGATTAACGATGGTTAAAAGTCTCGTTTCTTTTTCAAACTCTGATGTTGCGTGAGAATTGTTAAAGGGAAAATCAGTTTGGCTTCCATATACAGACTAAGAAGGCCAACTCTCAGATAGTAACTTGTGTGCACGAAATCGAGTAGATCAACCGATTATAAGGATAACAAAAACGTTCAACTAAACGAACCTATTGACATCTGGTCAACCATAAAAGTACTTTGTATTTATATCTAACGAGATCTACAACATAGTAAGTTCTCATGAAGACTGTTGCATTGAGGGGACTAAAATTGAAACTAAGTCTAATGCTAAATACCTCGTCTAGTTCTATCCTCCGACCTTACTTGGACATCTCATATCCTAATGATTTCTAAGAAAGTGTTCTGTCTTACCTACTACATTAAGAAACTTAGACAATCTGGAATCACCCAACCTCTACTTTCACAATTTGTCAACTCTTGTATCTTACCTATTCTACTTTACTGCTCCCCGTTAGTCTTTCCTGGTCTACTGAAAAAGGACTATCCATCTGAGAAGGATGTGAAAAGGAATGTCGTTACTTATTGATAGGCATCTGAATACATGCAAAAATGGTCAAAACCATACTCTCCAACCCCAAACCCCCTCTTATCTCATCAAGTAAAACCAGAAATCAGTATAAATAATCTATGCTCGTACAACCAAGTACAGGAACTCAACGATACCATACTTGGCCCGTGTTCTAAGCGACAGAGACAATGTTAAGCGTGAAACTTATGACTTACTCTGTTATTAACAACATAATTTTAGGCTCTTTTATTTCTCTTTTATTTTGTATTCTTTAGTGAACTCTTTCTTAAACATACTTAGCTACCTAAAATATTAACATTGGCTTCCTTTTTTGTACTTTACTATATTCCTTCTATTGTGTATTCACTGGTTCCGACTCTATTAGCACTATGAGTATTACAAAATTGTCCTGTCATTAACCATTATGTAATTTTAGTTTTGTGGCTGTTTTTTCTTATTTTCCATACTTTTCGACAATATTAAACTGACAATCATTGGTTGTGAACGCCATAGTCACCACCTTAAAAAATTTTATATTATTCAGGATTACTCACACTACCACTGCAAACACTGCATTAGACTTTGGTACTTTTTCGCATTTATAATTATTTTGTGTTTATCCTGTTTTTTTTTGCTGTTGGTGTCTTCAGATTTATTTTTTTGTTTGTTTAATACTTATTTTAAATGTCTGTAAAATTAGATGCAAATATTGTAGATTTGTGCTGAAAATTCCACACTGTACCACTAGTACTGTTTCTGGAATAAAGCAAATTATTATTATAAAGTAAAGTTAAACTATCGTAGCCCAAATCACAGCGACGCTGAACAACCAATCAGTATTCAAATGCAAAAATGTTGCATAAATCATCAAAAACATTGCAAAGATAATAAGAATGTAAGAATATCTCCCAGTAATTTCCAGGATAATCCATAGAAAAATCATACCATACGCAGTAGATATATTCATGCATGTCAATGCAGACACTGGTGTTTCAGGATCTATTGATATTCTTGACTCTGTTCTGTAATCTATCTCAAACACTATCTAACAGAATAGTTCTTGATGTGGTTGTGTTCTGTGAGCTGAACGGTTTGAAGTATACGCTGAAGAAGTTACCTAGTAGGGCAGTGAAAGCTTCGCAAATAAAGTGTCCAGCTCAGAGAACACAACTGCATCAAAATTATCCACCTGAGCTACAAATCTTCTCCACCATACCTAACGGTATAGATTTGCTTAATCTTCATGGGGCTCACCAAATCCATGAACGTAAACAGCTGACGTTTCGGAGAGTTCTCTTAATCTGACTGGTTCTTGAAGGTCAACTTTTGAAAGACTTTGACTTCGGCTATTATAGTTTAACTTCCCCTTATGTAACTTACTCAAACATTCTGATATGATCATATAGTAGGGATGAACGAAATTCATTCAACTGCAGATACATTTTGAGAACTCTTTTGGATATCTTCTATCATAAAATTTACACAGACCATTTAGATGAGCAAACCTCTTTTATCTTTATTACCTCTTTAGATTTTTTGCTTAGTAATACCTACATTCTTGAAATAAACCATCTTTTACTGACATAGAAGGTTACTTGATTAACTTTTGAATGTTCATTTTCTTCCCTTCTGCATGTTCGATTAATCTCATTCAATTCAAAATTAACACATATTAACTTACGTTGTAATTATTTCTTCTAATATGAAGCTTTTTAGGCCTTTGGAGACTGAATATGAGAAGTGTAGAGAAAGCTTATAATAATGATATCTTGTTCACTGTTGTAACAAAAAAAATGCGTTTTTAAAACACTTCTCAAGTTGTTATTGCTGTTGTTTTGTTTGCTTTTCTAACTTCCCAGTTGTTAAAATTTAATAACAGGGTAGGTGATATTTAAGCTGAATACCAAGTATTTGTATCCGCCTATATAATTATTATTTTGTTTCCCAGTGTTAGAGGAATTCCACCAAGTGATGTTAAATAACACGACTCATGAGTACTACTGATTAGCTGAATATTCACTTTAGTTGAATAAATGTTAAATTGATGCTCAATGGTTGAAATAAGTTGAAAGCAATCAGGAATACCAAAGAAAGTTAAATTCAAACTCGAAATGGCATCTGATAGTTCACGTTATAAGGCTTTATAAAAATATAGGAGGGCAGGGGAGAATTCTTAATCATCTGAACTGTTTCTGCATAGTGTGCTCCTTAAACATTACTACTGGCTTTTTGCTGAAGGAACAGTCAATCAAAGTCATCTCTATTCATACCAGTTTGATGAACGTATAATTTGACAAAAAGCAGAAGAGACTATTTACTAATGCTTAGGCCGAACTTGAATACATTGTGTAATACGGATCGTGTAATAATAAGGTGATACAATTAGGCTAAATTAATCGACACAGTGAAGCGTCAAACTTGTAAGAACGTTAGGTAAATGCACAATGAACGCAATATTATAGAATGTCGTAGGTCACATTACTTATCCACTTTCTGCAACCTCATGATTCTGTCAGTACCGTCTTCGAAGCAAATGTGACTTAACCAAATAAAGCTGCAGTTCATGAGACTACTGAACATCTCAGTGTCAAACCTCGTCTGAAAACGGTTATCCGAAACCTATTAAAGCCTACTATAAGAAGTTTCTGTAAGTTTACTTTGAAAGATACCTTTGATTTCATAGAGTGTCTTCAAAACGTTAATATAAAAGACAAACCCATGTTTTCTGTTGATACTGATTCTTCATTTACAAAAGTACCTCTGTTACAGACAACTGAAATTCTATGTGAATACATTACCAAAAGCAATTTCTTATTGCCAGTTTCTATATCTTATTTGAAAGAGTTACCACTTTTATGTTCTAAGAATGCTAAATTTACATTTGAGGACAAGTATTTTCGCCAGGTCTATGGTGTTGCTATAGGAAGTCCCTTAAGTTTATTTTCAGCTGGTGCATACATGTCACACACTGAGAGCCTAGCTGGGGACTTAATTGGAAATGTTTATTTTTATAATAGATGTATTGAAGCTTTGAAAATAGACCCAGAGACAACAGCGGACTTGATGACGCCACTACTAGAGAAGGTGTGGAAAGAGGGCAAAGTACCCGAGGATTGGAAGAACGGATACTTATTCAAACTGCCAAAGAAAGGAGATTTGAGTCAATGTAAAAACTGGCGTGGAATTATGCTTCTGTCCATTCCAAGCAAGATACTATGTCGCATCATCCTGGAGAGAATTAAACAAGCCCTAGATGAAAAACTTCGTCCGGAACAGGCCGGATTCAGGAAGAACAAGTCATGCATTGACCAAATCGCCACCCTACGGATTATCATTGAACAAAGTTTGGAATGGCAGTCACCTCTCTATCTCAACTTCATCGATTTTGAGAAAGCTTTCGACAGCGTCGATCGAGAGGTGATTTGGCAACTACTTCGCTACTACGGGGTGCCGCCGACAATTATACATCTCATCCAACAGCTGTATGACAACGCTGCATGCCAAGTAATCCACAACGGGAGGCTCACGGAATCCTTCGAAGTGAGGACGGGAGTGAGACAAGGCTGTCTACTGTCACCAATGATCTTCCTGATTGCAGTTGATTGGATAATGCGGCAGACAACGGCAACCAACGAGGGAACAGGCATAAAATGGACCGACACAAAAGCCTTGGAGGATTTGGATTTCGCCGATGATATATGTCTGATTTCCCACAAACTGGAAGATATGCAAGTGAAAAGCAACAAATTGGCAGAAGAAGCAGCAAAGATAGGACTTCAAGTGAACATAGAGAAAACAGAGGTAATGAAGATTCCTGGCCAACATCAACAGCAACAACCGACAACAATCAGCATAAATGGGAGGAACCTGAAGGAAACAACTTCTTTCACCTACCTGGGAAGCATCGTCTCAACTACAGGAGGAACTGACGAGGATATCAAAGCCAGAATCGGAAAAGCAAGACAAGTTTTCATTTCTCTCAAGTCTATGTGGAGGTCAACAGCATTCAGCGTCAAAAATAAGATCCGTATTTTCAACTCCAATGTGAAGTCAGTACTACTATACGGATCAGAGACTTGGCGTGTCACAAAGAGCAGCTCAAACAAGCTACAGACCTTCATTAACAAATGCCTTCGCTCAATACTCAAGATCAAATGGCCGGAGAGGATCAGCAACAAAGATCTCTGGGAGCGAACCAACCAGGAACCGATCGTGAAACAAATAGGCAGGAAGAAATGGAGATGGATTGGACACACTCTGAGGAAACCAGCAAGTGACATCACTAGACAAGCCCTCGAGCGGAACCCGAAAGGGAAGCGACGAGTTGGCCGTCCAAGGGTGACCTGAAGGAGATCATGTGAAGAGGAATTGAAAGCGTGTGGGCAGACTTGGAGCCAGGTGAAAACTACAGCAGAGAACCGAACGCAATGGAGACGCATGGCTGAAGCCCTATGTTCCTCTAGGAATTAAAGGAAATAATAATAAATAATAATAATGTATTGATGCCTTAATGGCCGTTTGTGACAAACCAGCGGATGTCACAGAAATCTGTTACCGGATAAATGCAGTACAAAAATGCATAGCATTAACATAAGTGGAAGAAAATAATGATGTATTTATAACTCACCGACAAGATGGGCTAATAAGACGGTCTGTTTACAGGAAGCCCACCTGGACAGGACAGTTACTAAATTAACACAGTTTCTATCCACCCCAGTGTAAAAAGACGTTAGTTAACTGCTTGTTTAGACGCATTCAATGTATATGCGCGGAGAACACTATTGAAGAAGAAACAAAAAACCTCACTAAAATACTGTTAGATAACAAATATCGGCTGAAATTCGTAAAGCGCTACAGAAATGTCAAACAAAAGTCTCGGCTGGTCCAATCAGCTACTAGTAGGGGTGTTTATATATTCTCACCGTTCAGTGGGTGATCAAAAAGGTCTGATCACTAATCAGAGACTCAGGGAGGCACTTAATATAACTTACTTTTCAGTGAAACTTATTTTCATAGAGAAAACGAGATTTATGTTTTCCTGCGAACCATCGCAGCATCCTAACGATGGTGGCACATCCCAATATATTTACCAATTTACATGTATGTGTGGTCACACAGACCGGATGATCTTTGTGAGTTAGGGTAACAGAACACATTCCAAAGTGGCTGCAACAACAAATAAAGTCACCGGATACAACTAACCCTGGAAATAGATTTCCAACATCAACTGTCGCAAAGCATACCACAGAGACAGGTCACAAGGTTAACTTTAGTAGTGCCTTTAAACCCACTTATAAAACAAGTTTGGGTCATATACCTAAATTCGTTGAAGCCTTTGTCATAAAAACGCCTAAAGCTGTTTTGTGTTCAAAAATTATTTGTCACTACTCTGAAGCTGCCTTGATAATTCAACTTCAGAACCAAGGTTCAATTCACTTAATAATATTTTCACCCTCTTTATTTCTTACCCCATATTATTTCACCATCTTCCTACCTCTTATCTGTGATCAACTGTGAATAATTTGACCTGTACTGTAATCGTTTATTCTTCATTCCCTTCTATATAAATAAATGTGTATGCCAAGTACATGTGTGATCAGAATGTCCAAGGTGTATTGCGTAAATACATAACACGCTAGAGATAAATTACGTCTTCTTATTGCTTTGTCTAAATTCACAAAGGAAGATCATTTCTTTAAAGACGGTTGCTTTATCTTCACAGCCTGCCTCATAGAGAGAGTCTGGGCTTCACAATCTTATTCAATTGATGCTGAATACCAGTGGAATTCAAGGCGCATATTTTGCTCTATTTTTGACTTATCTGGATGTAGTTGCTTCTCAGTGAATGATACTATCCCCTTTGTGGATTAAACCAGCACCCATCATTTCAAATACCAAAACGTTATTCACTAGGCATCTGAGCCACAAGGAACATCTATTGTGCAGTGGGTATCACTTGGTATTTATTGAAATTAATTTGATCTGAAATAATAGAGATTTGTAGAGAATGGTTATCCACAAAATTTCATCAAAAAGTGTTTAAAGTCAAATCAAAACACCAACAAGAAACCATCATCAAAGACCACAAGAAAATTAATCCTACCATACATGAGAAGTATCTCTGAAATAGCAGCTAGAATACTGAAACCATTTGATATAGATATAGCACACAAGCCAGTCAAATTGCTTAATTCGATATTATGCAAACCGAAAGAGCCAACAGAAAAAGAAGATAAAATTAATACCATTTACAAAATAAAATGGATGGACTGCAACAGGCACTATATCGGCCAAAGAGGGCATCCCCTTCGAATTAGAATCCAAGAACACAAATGAGCCGTGAAAAGACACGATATATATTCTTTAATATCAATGCATTTAGACAATTATGGTCATCAATTTGATTGGGATAATGTCAAAATCTTAGACAGAGGAAACACCAAAAGTGCCAGGGAATTCCTATAAGCCTGTTACTCAAACGAAAATGCAATTAACAAACACGTTTATATAAACCAAATATACCAACTAGTAAAAAGTCAATCAGGTGACCAGAAAGTTTAAAATCCAAGTCAATAGAAAATGTTCAATACATATGTAAAGATGGTTACCGGGAGACGCAATTAAATCACTCATTAAGAAATTTAAATCATTTCACTTTTTGCTAAATATTGCGCTGAAGATGTTGTCCAGAAGGAAGAAGAAAGCTCCGCAACTAAACCAACCAGCTCAGAGAAGACTATTTATTGCAAATTACTTTGATCTTTCAGCCGATCGCTTTTTCTGCTTGACCGGAATGCTAGGTTCTGTTGATATGTCAGCTCCTAGTACGCATACATCAGTCATTTTATTTGTTTTTATAATCCTTCCAATCAGATTCATTCCGCTCTAAGATATAAGAACACAAAACATTATGATCTACTATATACAAAAGTCATCATATTAATAGCATTTCACTTGTTCAAGAACGTAATGTTCAGTTATATTGTAATTGTCTTTAGTAAGTGGATGAATTGTTTTCAAATTGTGTCAGAGTAGTACACAGCTATTATTCCCTTGGGTTCCGACTGGAACAAAGGGCTTCAACAACACATCTTCACTTTCTTCTATTTTCCGCCATGCATCTCCACTTTCCCCTACATATCTGTTGAGCTATCGATGCTTCATTGGTTTGTTCCCACAGTTTCTTGTTACCAATTCTCTCTGGAGCCAGTGAGGGCAGCTGTTGATAAAAGTCTGTAACCTGTTTGAAATCGTCTTCGTGATACACCCTAGCTAGTTGACTAGGCGAGGTTAACTAGACACTCCCATAAATCTCTTATGGTACTGTTTAGTTGTGGATATTCATCACAAATATTGTGAATGATTAATTCTTCATGAATTGTTATCATACTCCTGAATCTCAGACAATTAGCAATTCACTCGTTTCAATGTCAACTGTAAGTTTTAATTCGTTTCTGTCTTGAGAACGTTTTTAATTAAAAGCAACGCATAATGTTATTTCATATTTTATACATGGATGGTATTCATTGTAATATATCAGCAACACTGCTAACAAATAAATACTTGAGTTGTTCTCTTCTGTGCCTTTATGATACCAGGTGATAACATTTATCACTGGGTTTGATGTCAAACTAACAGATATCTTGACAAAATGCTGAAAATTTCTATTTTACAATTAGCTGAAAAAAATCAGGAAATAAAATTCAAAATTAGGAAGATAAACATAAATCCTCACCTTCGTTTTTTACCTCTTTCTGAATGGAAATAAGCTTCTCAAGTGTGATTTAACTACTTTAACATAAGTGAAGTGTATGTACCATCAAAATAAACCGCAGTTTTATCAGAGTGAATAACTAGTTATGGTTTCAACCAAAAAAAGGATATAAATAATGTCAATACTTAATGTTTATTGACTGCATCATTAAAAATCTATAAATTACAAATTTACTTACAGATCCTCCAGATGTGCCTAAAATTACCGGTTATAAAAGTGAACAGCCGATTAATATGGCTCATCTTCTGGAATTAACGTGTACCACTAAGAGTGGAAATCCACGGCCTGAACTACAATGGTTTAAAGGTGAGTATATATATTTTATCATTTTTTTTAACAATCAGTTTTCATTGAAATCAAATTCATATAAAACATTTATTCAAAAATTAAAACATATAATAATATAAATAGCATGAAAATAGGGGGAAAACGTAAATGACATTGATTTTAAAGTTATCATCAGTTTATACAGTGTTTTCCTGGGTTAATTTGTTGTGTCTGAATTAGCGATTAACGGTGCATACACCGGTTGACAAACTTCCATCACGTTACAAGCTGTTTATAAACAATTATTTTCTATTGCATACAATGATCAGGATGGTGTGTTTTGTTCAAACTAGCTAAAACTTCCTTTCATCATTTAAGACATACAGTGAATAGGATTTAAAGACTAAAACCGATTCTTTTTGGTACGAACAAAAAGAACCGACCTCTGCTTCCTACAGTATAGCTAACAAAACTTACTTGATTTATGCAAAGTCATAAAACTCTCCAATGACGGCAAAAACAGCGTTCATTCTTTGATGGATCTATGTGGTTCTATTCAATAATAATAACAAGAAAAACTCAAAATTATCCCCAACAATGATAACAGCTGGCTATACGGACAAGGCAAGTTCCCAGTGCGAAATAAGTACAGTAGAAAGAAACGAGCTAACCAGGATTTTTAACTGTAAGGGTTACCTTAGGATCATCTAGAAGATTACCAACACAGTGTAGTAGGCAAGAGTCACACACCAGCGCTTCCCGCGGACAGTCCAAGGTCTGAATGACCTCCGATTCACTCAACCAAAATCACATCGCAGAATAACAAATTATCAATGTATCGCACAACCACAAAGAGAAGTATTAAAATTTTCAGATTAAACAAGGACAAATACAAATAACGAGGATCAAGTCAGCGCGTGATATGCAAATGTCAGAATAGTGACATGTAGTATAGGAGACAGTCGGATCATAATTACAAAGTTCAAGTGTTGGTTTATAGGGATTCGATTGATTGGTTACAGGATTTCATCATGAGCTGACATCAGTTAGAGAACCATTGGAAAACCTGGGAGTACTGGACAGCTGTACCTTTCTTGTTTGGGACTCTATAGTAGTACGCACCCACTGGGGTTCGGACCCAGGACTTTCTGGTTAAAAGGCCAGCAACCTCGTAGAGCATTAAGCCACTGGGACCTGATTCATTCTCAGTGACTATTAACAAGAGCATTTATTCATTGTGAACAATGTTTCATAAGTCATATTATTATTGAGCAAAATGACTAGGAGGAAAATTAAAACAAATCTGAATGCAGCATGGATAAAAATATGCAAATGTTAATTTTGAATGGTGCTAGTTTTAAACCTACTTACAGCAAAAAGTCTCCATTTTTGATATCAGTTATAACCCTGCTGGATATTATTTCAGTGGCATTTATACACTTGAGAGATTTGTATGGTTTTATCAAACATATTTTGCATAAGTGTACATTATTTTGTATTATATAACACTTAAACACTGTTTATCATTTATTAATAACAAATTATGAAGATAAGAAGCCAATTCCAACCACTGGAGAAGTGATTACTATTGGAAAACAAACTAGTATCAAATTGAAAGTTGTCCCACAAAAAGAAGATAATGGTGCTCAATATCAGTAAGTGTTCAGCATTAAAATATTCTCTTTGGTGAAGTATAACATAAATGTAGACAGCAGACAACACTGGTCGGTTGTTGCTATTTTTGTTTTTCTTAAGGCGGAGAACAACTGAGTGAATACGAGTGACTGTTGTTTGTTTTGCTTTTATTGTGCTTTCATTTGTTCACATGAGTTGTTATTCAATAATTTTATAAATAATTACACCTCAACAATAGCTCCAATGCAGCGAGATGTCTTTGTTGATGTCTCCATTATCACATGTGTTATTCTGAAAAAATAAAACCAAAACACATAAAGAATGAATTGATAAGGAATTAAAGGTGAATACCATAGCATGAGGCTAAGTCTCTGTGTTACGTCATGCAGTACTTAAAGCCAGTTTGAAGGTGAATGCACATGATCCGAGGTTCGATCCCCTGCCGACGCACACCTGATATCAATGGTCGGCCTGCAAAATTTGGGCTACCGACATTGCATGCTGAAAATTCCATACTTCTACCAAAAATACGGTGTGGAATCAAGCTGTAATCAAAAAAAAGAGCAAACAATGAACCATAAAAGTTAAACTCAAATTCAAATACAATAAGAAAAGTTTTTGCAGGACTTAAACCATTTGTAAATAATGCTGTGCATAACTTTAATGCAGAGATATACACAAAATATTTTTTTAAAACCAAGAACTCATGACAATCCACATAATGAAAGCAACTCAGTTCGCAGTTAGGAAACTGAAATCAGCTAGGTCTTCGTCACTCCTACTGCAGCTTACCTGGAAGGATGAAACATTTATTTCCTGATACAAGCTACAAATCTAAATAGGACAGGATTTAATGAATTCATAAAATTTCAGTAGAACATTTTAGATGATTATTCTACATTCGGCATGATGTATAATGTGAGACATGAATAAATGTGTGATTAACAAATAAATAACGATGAAACCTCATATATTTATTCCCTTTTATGAATTTGAATAGAGCAAGTAAAACAGATTTTGCAGAATAAAATGGTATCGTCATTTATATCGTTGGCTCCTCATCAGCTGCTTACAGCCTAAAGACCTTATTAAGAATATCTACAGTATCAATTTTAACATACTTGTACTAATTTCATTTTTAAACAAAACTCAATATATGTATACAATGCTAATAATAATAATTACTTTATTCCAAATAATAATAATCATACACGACGGAATCTTTCGGAGTCACTAGATGAACATGTCCCAAAAGCCCATGTCTAAAGGGAACAAATGCTTTTAGCAGTGCCGTCACCAGGCATCTTCTTGACACGGGACATAAGATGGACGTCACAAGATCGTTCAAAATTATCAGTAGGCAAAAGAGTTGAATTCTCCTTAAGTTTGTCGAAGCAGTCTCCATCAAGTCCCTGAAACCTGATTCATGCGTTCAAAAAGAAGCGGTTGTCAGTATTCCGTTGCCCTAGTAAATGAATGTTTTCATCCTCTCTTCCATCTGATTACGTAACGCCGGAAGATTTTATATTATTATTAGCACTGTATGCATATAGTGATTTTTTGTTTAAAAATGAACTCTGTTCAAGTATCTTAAAATTGTTTCTGTATATATACCTAATAATGTCATTGGGCTGTAAGCAGATGATGAGAAGCCAACGAAATAAATGATGGTACCATTTTATTCTGCACAAACTACTGTTGTTCTTGCTTTATTCAAAATCACGATGAATTAATTCATCATAAAACGAAAGGTGAAAATGTTTTGCAGGTGAAGTTCGGTATTAGCACTAAACAACAGGACGTCAGGAAAGCCAATATCATTTTATTTTGTATTCATTGGGAAATACAAAAGAATTTCGATAAAGAAAGGAAAACGAAATTTGCAGCTTAAAATGATATCATTCTATTTCACAGGTTCTCGTCAGCTGCAGACTACCTGAAATTACAGTGGTTATATAGGTGATAATAACATACTTTAATGTTTGAGTGTTAGTAGAGAAGAGATGCTATAAAAGTGACGCATCCAAAATGAAAGCATTACAATTTTTAGTTTAAGTTTTCATCATCAATTTATACGCTTTCAAAGTTGAAAAGAGAGGGGAGGGGTAAGACAGAAAGCACAAAAAATTAATCAACAGAACAGTGTTAGCTTGTAGGTTAACATAGCAACTCAATTAACAAAAGCGGTTACAGTTTATGAGATTAAGATTTGCTCAGTGAGTTGAGATCACTGAATTAGATGACTAATTATTAATGTAATCAAAATCAAAATTCAGGTACCAAATGAGTGAGAGTTTAATCACGCTCTCTTTCTGTATGCATAAGTCTGGTTTAAATCGTTTGATTGCTACCGCTTCGGCGAATCGTATTAAATTTGCTGTCCTTTGTCTATTTAATATTTTGAAGGACTTAGAAATCTCTACGAGATGTCTGTTACCAACATTACTATTATTATTATTGTATCCTTTAATTCCTAGAGGATCAGAGGGCTTCAGCTGCACGTCTCCATTACGTTCAGTTCTCTGCTAGAGTCTTCACCTGGCTCCATGTCTACCCACACGTTTTCATCTCCTCTCCACATGACCTCCTCCAAGTCACCCTTGCACTGACGACCAACTCGCCGCTTCCCTTTCGGGTTCCACTCGAGCAATGGCTTGTCTAGTGATGTCACTTGATGGTTTCCTCACAGTATGGCCAGCCAATCCATCTCCATTTCTTCCTGCCTATTTGTTTCACAATTGGTACCAACATTATGTCTGGTAATTGCACTATGAGAATATTTGCTTCCTTTTAGCCACAGGTTTCTTGGAATACTTTCAGAAAACAGGATAGAAGCCCTTCTTTCCGTCCTTCCAATGTACATGCTCCCGCAAGTGCACGTAAATTCATAAACGCAGTCGGGGGCGACATCAGCAGGGTATTTATCCAGTTTTGAGTGGCTTATAGAGGAAGTAGTGCTGTATAATGATATAAGTTTCGATGCCGGGAAGCTTCTTTTTATTGCACCTTCCAGTCTTTTGTCAATCTCATGTGACACTGCGTCTCCTTTGAATGGGAGACAAATAAACACTTTTTTCTTTTCTACACTTTGGTGTTTTTCTTTCTTATCTTTTTCTCTGCTATACTTCTGTATAAATCCTTTCAGGTACTCATTTTCTCTTAGGCATTTCTTGATGAAATCTAATTCTTCTTCAACCTTGTTTGGTGAACACAACTTCCTGGCTCTGTCGTACAAGTCCTTACCAATCCACGTTTATAGCTTATAGGACATTTTGATTACATTAATTAGTCATCTAATTCAGTGATCTCAACTCACTGAGCAAATCTTAATCTCATAAACTGTAACCGCTTTTGTTCATTGAGTTGCTATGTTAACCTACAAGCTAACACTGTTCTGTTGATTAATTTTTTGTGCTTTCTGTCTTACCCCTCCCCTCTCTTTTCAACTTTGAAAGCGTATAAATTGATGATGAAAACTTAAACTAAAAATTGTAATGCTTTCATTTTGGATGCGTCACTTTTATAGCATCTCTTCTCTACTACCACTCAAACATTAAAGTATGTTATTATCACCTATATAACCACTGTAATTTCAGGTAGTCTGCAGCTGACGAGAACCTGTGAAATAGAATGATATCATTTTAAGCTGCAAATTTCGTCTTCCTTTCTTCATCGAAATTTATCAAGGGAACGAAATGTACAAAAGAATTTCTTATAATAATGAAAGGGTGGAGGGGATACAGAAGACTGAAAATAAATACTGTAATTGATTACAATTCAATCACATCACTGTAATAAACAATAAGTTATCAGTGAGAGACTTTGAAAACGTTAGTAATTGCGAAATGAACAGTTTATTAAAATAACGAAACTCAATCAAGATAAGATAGTGATACTGAAAGAGGGGTAATAATGATCATAATAGATGAAATAATCAGTCACTAACAGTTTGCAAGGTAAGTGATTTCCAACAGTTGTTCTGCAGGATTTGATTGATTTCAAGACTGACCACGAACTGACTTCAGTTAGATAGCCACTCATAACCAGGGGTTACTGAATGGCCGTTTCTCTCTTATTTGAGACTCTTCAGTAAAACGCTCCTATGACCCCACCGGGGATCGGATCTAGGAGCTTCAGTTTACAAAACAGACTCGTAGACCATGCTGCCACCGGGAGAGAATCCAATAGCCTATGAAGTCTAACTTCTGCCAATTCGTGGTATATAGCGTGACTTGCCAACCAGTGTCATCGCTGAGTATCTGTCCTCAAACCCGACTCGTTGGATCCCACTGAATTGTCAACGGGTTCGCCTTATAACCTGAAGATCCCGGATCCGATTTCCGAAGGGGTCATGGGTGCGTTCCATTGAAGAATCACAAACTAGGAAGGACCAGAAGTCCGTCAGTTCGTGATTCATCTTGAAAGCAAGAGGTACTAACACGATGGATCCAAAATGACCAAGAAAAAGAATGTTCAAGTTAATGAATACCTAATTCATCATAACTACAGCTAAAATTTAATAAAAACACCTTGCTACTTTCAGTGAACATGTTGTCATTTTTAGTGGAACGTGTCCCTAACTTACTGAATTTCAGTATATTTTCTAGCGAATTGTTCCACAGTGTACGAATGTTGAGGCTCACGGAATAAGAGAATACGCAATTACTTCTAACAAAACAATAATTTATGTGAAAGTACAAAATTTCACACAAACTGACAAATACAAGTTGCTTATTACTCCGAAATTATAATGACACTTATATCACACACAGAAAATCACATAATTGGATATTCGTCACCCCAAGAACATTAAGAAAAAATTTGTAGAAATGATGGTCTACTAAGAGCATCATTATTCATGTTAAAGGAATTGTCTTAGTTCATTTTATCAAGGCATGAGGATGCGCGTGTACGCTTACTTCCTTTATGTGTAATACACTTTATTCATAACAATTATTTGCTCAACAAAGTTTCTATCAAAAAGGGTGTTGGAAATAAAGGCAATCTTTAAATTATAATT